TCACCTCTTCTCTTGTCTTCCTGGACCATTCTCTTGCCTTCACCATGTTTGTAACCACACCAGTAAATGTCTAGAAGGAGCTGAGTATCACAGTCATTTTAAAGCTGCCTAATTGGTGCTTATTATGCTTGATTGCTGCTCGGTGACATCCACAGGTGTTTTCAATACCTGATGGAAAGCACCTGTATGAACCTCTGTTCTTCAGAGTGGTAGTCTTTAAGGGGTTGAATAATTGTGGCAATGAAGAAACCACATAAGAACCATTTACTACTGTATTACATAAACAATTGATGTCATTTTAGTTGCATTTGGGTAGTTACAACGTCCTTGTAGGATTTGATTCTGAATACAATTCCAAATGTACACTATAGTCCCTAAACCCCTTTACAGCATTGGGGGTTGAATAATTTTGGACACAACTGTATATGTAACTTATACTGTATATATTTATACCTGAAGTGTAATGTCGCAGCTTGCCAGCTGTAATTGTGATGGCAGTTGGCTCCTTCTGTCACATAATTGCCAATCTTGTGCACTTAGCATCATGCTGGTAATTTCCATTAAACACATTTACCAAGTGCTCAGGATAAAGAAATAAATAAAACAACTTCCCTGTGCCTTGACTAAAGCCTGGCACACACCGGATGAACATCGGCCAAAGTCAGCTGGTTCAAACAGAAAATGACATTTGGCCCGTGTGTACAGCAGCCTCTCTGACAGAAGTCGACTTAACGTTCAGCTTCTGTAGAATGCTAGAAAAACATCTGCTGATCAGCACTGGCAGCCAATGGCTGCGAGCACTTGTCAGTGAGATCGAGCTGGGCAGTCTCCCCAGCGGGGAGATTGCTGTACTAACATTGCATAGTTACAGTAGTACAAAGACGAGAACCTCAGTTTTTACCAGACTTAAAGGGGTTTATTTACTAAAGCTGGAGAGTCCAAAATCAGACTCACTTCTACATAGAAACCAATCAGCTTCCAGGTTTCATTGCCAAAGCTTAATTGAACAAGCTGAGGTTAGAAGCTGATTGGTTTCTATGCAGAAGGGAGTCTGATTTTGGACTCTCCAGCTTTAGTAAATAAACCCCAAAGTGTCACTAACCCTACAACAGTAAAATCAGTCTGTATATGCAGTAATGCATGCTTGTTATATTCACTGTGGAACCTAAGGAGTTAATCTCTGCATTGTGTAAAAAGGCTGTTTGATCCTGTCTTCTCTGCCCCTGAAATTACCTCCTGATACAGACTGAATCCGCAGTTACATGCACATGCTTAGTTTGGTGTGTATTGCTAGAGAGTTTTTTTTTTTCTTGGGAGAGTACATGTGATCAGCACAGGGCCAATCAGCACTGTCCAAACAGAGGGTCAGGATTTTCACATCCTCCTAGAGCAAAAGAAAACTCCTCCTACAAGCTTTAACCAGTGCTCTGCTGAAGTCACAAGACTGCTCTAACTGCTGATGAGAAAAGTTATTTAGCAGTTTATATTTACTAAAATAATTGCATTTCCACATTGTGTGTACTGTGGGAGACCAGATATAGTGAATGCAGGGTCCAGGGAGACCAGATATAGTGAATGCGGGGTCTGGGGAGACCAGATATAGTGAATGCAGGGTCTGGGGAGAGCGGATATAGTGAATGCAGGGTCCGGGGAGATCAGATATAGTGAATGCAGGGTCCGGGGAGACCAGATATAGTGAATGCAGGGTCCTGGGAGACCAGATATAGTGAATGCAGGGTCTGGGGAGACCAGATATAGTGAACGCAGGGTCTGGGGTTTAATATCACTTTAACAAAGTCTGTGTGATTGAACAACATAATAATGCAAAACTGTTCGCAAAAGAACGACCTGAGATAAGTAATGTCTGAACGTCCTTTAAGCGGTATTAAATACTAAAAAAAAATTAATATATTGTAGTTTACCAATTCTTAAATATGGTGGCTGCATTAGTTTTTTTTTTTTAATGCTTTTCCTCCCCGTGTTTTCACCTGGTGATCGGTCCAATAGCACACTTCCTTCCTTCTTCTCTTGTTTTTGAATTATTTCTTGCTAAAAACCTATTTCATGTTTGTTGTAAGTGGCAGCTCACCAGTGTAATTCTGGAATAATGTTATCCAGTCACAGTGCAGAAAATCTTTCTGCTTGGAATCTTCCATCCAATCAGTACAATGATTGTTATTATCAGAACTGTAGAGACTGTCACAAACAGCTATTAATATAGACTACAAACATGTAACGTTGTTTACCTTGGAAAAATACCAGCCCAGAGTGGTGGCGTCACATGACAACCACAGAAGTGTCCGGGGAGTTAAAAGATGCTTTTAGAATGTGATTGAAATCACAATAGGTGCCAACAAATCATTCACATTCTGCACTCTATAGAGCCACAGAGAGAAGATATATAGATTAATACATAAGTACATCACAGTATCTAGCAATACAGTAGAAAAGTATTTCAAATGTACAGTATATTAATTAATACTAAAAGTGACAGTCCATCTCACTACAGCAAAAAACGTTATACAGTTGCAAGAAAAAGTATGTGAACCCCTTGGGATTACATTGAGTTTTGCATGAATTGGGCATAAAATGTGCTCTGAACGTCATCTAAGTCACAACAATAGAAGAACACAGTCTGCTGAACATAATACTACACAAACATTAGATGTTGCCATGGTTTAATTGCACATAACATGTAAACATTCACAGTGCAGGGAGGAAAAAGTATGTGAGGCCCTAGCTTAATGACTTCTCCCAGAGCTAATTGGAGCCAGGAGTGAGCCAACCTTGACTCCAATCAGTGTGATGATATTGGATGTGTTGCTGACAGCTGTCCTGCCCTTAAAAAACACACACACTGTTTTGGGTTTACTGGTTTCAAGAAGCACTGTCTGATGTGAACCATGCCTCGCAGAAAAGAGCTCTCAGAAGACCTACGATCAAGAATTGTTGACTTGCATGAAGCTGGAAAGGGTTACAAAAGTATCTCCAAAAGCCTTGATGTTCATGTGTCCACGGTAAGACAGACTGTCTACAAATGGAGAAAGTTTAGCACTGTTGCTACTCTCCCTAGGCGTGGTCGTCCTGTAAAAATGACTGCAAGAGCACAGCGCAGAATGCTGCATGAGGTAAAGAAAAATCCCAGAGTGTCAGCTAAAGACCTACAGAAATCTCTGGCACATGCTAACATTTTTGTTGACACATCTACAATAAGGAAAACATTAAACAAGAATGGAGTACATGGGAGGACACCACGGAGGAAGCCATTGCTGTCCAAAAAGAATATTGCAGCACTTTTGAAGTTTGCAAAAGAGCACCTGGATGTTCCACAGCACTACTGGCAAAATATACTGTGGACAGATGAAACCCAAGATTGAGTTGTTTGGGAAACACACAATATGTGTGGAGAAAAAAAAGGCACAGCACACCAACATCAAAACCTCATCCCCACTGTGAAACATGGCGGAGGGAGCATCATGGTTTGGGGCTGCTTTGCTTCCTCAGGGCCTGGACAGATTGTTGTCATTGATGGGAAAATGAATTCCAGAGTTTATCAAGACATTTTGCAGGAAAACGTACGACCATCTGCGCCAACTGAAGCTCCGCAGAGGATGGGTGTTGCAACAGGACAATGACCCAAAGCATACAAGTAATTCAACAAAACAATGGCTGCAACAGCACAGAATACGCCTTCTGGAGTGGCCCAGTCAGAGTCCTGACCTCAACCCGATTGAAATGCTGTGGCATGACCTTAAGAGAGCGATTCACACCAGACATCCCAAGAATATTGCTACACTGAAACAGTTTTGTGAAGAGGAGTGGTCCAAAATTACTCCAGATCGTTGAGCAGGTCTGATCTGCAACTACAGGAAATGTTTGGTTGAGGTTATTGCTGCCAAAGGAGGGTCAACAAGTTATTAGGTCCAAAGGTTCACATCCTTTTTCCTCCCTGCACTGTGAATGTTTACATGTTATGTGCAATTAAACCATGGCAACATCTAATGTTTGTGTAGTATTATGTTCAGCAGACTGTGTTCTTCTATTGTTGTGACTTAGATGACAATCAGAGCACATTTTATGCCCAATTTCATGCAAAACTCCACGTAATCCCAAGGGGTTCACATACTTTTTCTTGCAACTGTACATCAATTATTTAGGTAAATGAGAATAATATAATTTGCATAATAATTTGGAACAGGGTGTATAAATGGATAATTACGGTTAATAGTTTTTTTTATTATAAATAATATAGCCATTCTAAAGGTTGATAGCACAGAAGGTTGATGGAACAGAGATGGAACGTACAACTACAACCCAGGAAAGCAAAGGCACACAAAATATTCTCATTCATTTTCATTGTTGTTTTACCAGTTGAAGTCATCTTTATTTTATAGGTAACACTGTCTCTAAACTAGGGTCACTCAACTGATCCTCAGAATCTATATTCTGGTAATGGAAAAAATCCATGAAGTCTTTACAGATCTGCTGCACTGAAATGACTTCTTCGAAGGTAAGTTTATTCTTCCACTCTAGCGACACACGTAATGCATCCCGTGGTGTAACAATAAATGGCTTTGAGTTTTCCAAGTCTTTGCCATGAGTCATTTTACAAATCCATGTTTTTATCTCATCTGTCACTGTTAGGCCAGCAAAGTCATACAGTTTTTTCGATATCCACAAAGTGTCTCTGACCAGATCATCATATCTAAGTAACATGTAACGGTCTTTAAGGAAGGGAGGAGGCTGAACATTGCTTGTTCTGTATATGTCAACTTGGCTCTGACAAATTTCTCTAAGAACTTTTTCTCTGTCCGTGTCAGTGACTGCTGATTCTTCTGAGTTGAGAATAACAGCGTTGTCGAAATCCAAATCAAACTTGAGCTGTTCACGAGATATGGCAAGAGCTCTTGGGTCTCGTACTACATGAAGGATTTTTTTAAGTTTAAGGTAGGGTCTGTTAGAAGAGGATAGAGCACCTTCAGGTCAAAAATACGAAACTCCTGGAGAACAATATGGCTATAGGCATTACAGGACTGTTCCACTTTACTAAATGGACTTTTAGCACAATATTTCTTACAGTTGTAGTCAGTTACAATCTTTTTACGAGAAAAAGTGTTGCATGCCGGAGGTAAGCAGAGGGCCCTGCTGGAGGACCACTGAAACAAGTTTGATACATAGCTTCTGTTTTGCATGTATACATCTAGCACAGACATGTCACATTTGAAGACTGACCGAATCAAATCCCTCACCGCCATGTGGAGAACATGTGCATTGTTGTGTGGCATGGTATTCCAAACATGCCAGGCTGGCTCCTTCAAGTAGAAGACATCAGGGTTCTGGTTGAAGATCTGGCCGACAAGAGATGAGCCTGCCCTCCAGGTGGAAAGAATCAAAAGGTGGACTTTGCTTGGTTTTTCCCTGGGGAGGGAATTACTAAAACGAGTTCCCAAGTTGTTTAAAACCAGAATGATTGTTTGAAGAGTAATCACAGCTGTAACTACAAAAAAGATTGCTCCACATTTTCTCATGATTTTACCTAGAAAGAAGAGAAGAAAATGGATTGTTAAAAAGTATATATAGGAAGATAGAAAATAAGGGAGATAGAGAGAGAGTTCAATTGAGAAATACAAGAATGCTGCAAAAGCAAATCATACAACTGTCAAGAGGTTACCAGCATTGATGGTGCAGCACTGATTGCATACATTAAAGTGTAAGCAGGCAGCAATAGTGTTTGCCCAATATATTTGGAAAAAATAAATGTATATGCACTTCTACAAAATTGCTGTGAAAACAAATAGATGTCTGTATCACTAGAGGGACTGCCCTGGTAAGAATAGAGAGGCATGGATACAGTGACACTAAAGGTAAAAAAAAACATGTCATACTCACCTGCTCTGTGAAATGGTTTTGCCTAGAGCGATCCCACCCCTCCTTCTTGGGTCCCCTTCCGGCGTTCTTGGCTCCTTCTCTTCTTTGTGTGCCCCCACAGCAAGCCACTTGCTATGAGAGCACACAGTGTGTGCTCACTCCCGAGCTGAGTGTGTGTCTATGGAGCAATCTGTGATTAGGTCCTCGTTTCATTTGCCTTAATACATAGACAGTTGGCATGTCATGGATTTTTTTAATTCGTTCAGTGTATGCTATATTGCAAGGACCTTTTCTTTCAACTGAGCACGCATACAGTGTAGACTGCCTCTATCACCATTAATGCGGTTACTTTATACCCATTTCAATACTAATAAAAACTCATTTGGATTAAAAAAAGGGCCCCCAACAAAGCTTACAAAGACAGAAGAAGAAAATCCATCACTGAAAAAATGTAAAAGAAAAAACCAGTCTAAACAGGAATGGTGATAATCGGTTCAGGAAAAAAAAAGAGGACAGAGGTCATGCAGTTTCAAGCCAAGCAAACGAAACTGCAGCTGAAGTTTACAGAAAAAAACACAAATTGGGCACAAAGACTTTTGGGGGAGATTTACTAAAACTGGTGCACTCAGAATCTGGTGCAGCTGTGTATATAACCAATTAGCTTCTAATGTAGGCCATAGATGGGGAGAAAACCGGCAGATTTTTCTTTAAAAAAACGAAAAATCGGTCGTTCAGGCGGCCGACGTTACCAGGAATGGTAAAAAAAAAAAATCGGCCAATTTTCATCCCATCTACAGCCGGCAAAAAGTGTCCCTGCAGAGAGCTCCGCTATTTCTGACAGTTCTTTGACATTTATAGCGGCTGCAACATTGTATCTATTTGTATCCATTGCGGATACAGATGTTTTTATTCGGAAACAGATACATTGTTGCAGTCGCTATAAATGTCAAGGAACTGTCAAAGAAATAGCGGAGCTCTCTGCAGGGACACTTTTTGCCAGACTGGAATTCTTCTTCATCCTCTTCTTCTTCTTCATGCTCTTCTTCTTCTTCCTCTTCTTCATCCTCTTGTTCTTCCTCGTCCTCTTCTTCTTCATCCTCTTTTTTTCTTCTTCATCCTCTTCTTCTTCATCCTCTTCTTTTTCTTCATCCTCTTCTTCATCCTCTTCTTTATCCTCTTTTTCATCCTCTTCTTCATCCTCTTTTTCTTCCTCATCCCTCTTCTTCTTCCACTTCTTTTTCTTCTTCCTCTTCTTTCCTCTTCTTCTTCCTCTTCTTCATCCTCTTTTTCTCTCCTCTTCTTCTTCCTCTTCTTCTTCTTCTTCTTCATCCTCTTCTTCTTCCTCTTCATCCTCTTCTTCTTCCTCTTCTTCATCCTCTTCTTCTTCTTTCTTCTTTTTGTCTTCCTCTTGCAGGTCACTGCTCATGCGCAGATTTTTTATCGGTAAAAAGATCGGCCGATTTGCCCATAATTGCTGCGAAAATTGGTTGCTACAATATTTTATTCAAATTATTCAGCTTCACATTTCAAAGGAGGTAAAGATTCCTGGAAATGAATAACAAATACTTTAACCACTTGCTCTCCAGGGGATTTACCCTTCTTCATGACCAGGCTATTTCTTGCGTTATGGCGCTGTGTTACTTTAACTGACAATTGCGTGGTCATGCAACGCTGCACCCAAATGAAATTTATGTCCTTTTTTCCCCACAAATGGAGCTTTCTTTCGGTGGTATTTCATCGCCTGTGCGGTTTTTATTTTTTGTGCTATAAAAAAATTAGTAAAAGTGAAAAAATTGTAAAAATCAAATTTCGTCATAAATTTAGGCCAAAATGTATTCTGCTACATGTCTTTGCTAAAGAAATTCCCAATATGAGTAAATTAATTAGTTTACGTGAAAGTTATAGTGTTTACCAATGGCGGTATATATAATGGGCTTTTTTTTTTAAATTTTAACTATTAATGGTGGCAATCAGCAACTTATAGTGGGACTGCGCCGGGCATTCTGACACTGTGGGCATTCTGACACTGTGGGGGAACTGACTTGGTGTCACTGGCATCCCCAGTGACACCAATACAGTGATCAGTGCTAATAAAAAGCACTGACACTGTACTAATGGCACTTGGCATAAAGGGGTTAACATCTGGGGCGATCAAAGGGTTAACTGTGTGCTGTTTTACATTATGTTCTTCACTGTAAGCACACTATTTTGCATGACTGTGCAAAAGCCAAAAAGCAGTGTGCAGGAGCTGACATGGAGGAGAACTGTTTTGTTTACTAACAGTTCTACCCCCCGTCGGAGATTCTAGAGTGCCGATGAGTAATTACCGGCCGGGACCCGGTGATTGACAGCCGCAAATGGCGGCGCGGGTAGGGCACGGGCCCAGAAATGCAAAATCATATATATATATGTGATTTTGCACATTGTTTGCCGCTCTGTAGCAGTATTTCTACTATGGGGCGGCGCAAAAGCGATTAACATCTTTTTTGCTTTTATTATGTTTATAAGCATACAAAGTGTCGTCTAGGGAAACTGAGCCCTACCTGTGCTGCCATGGCTGTAAATCACCATGTCCCGGCCAGTGATTACTCGCCAACACCCGGTGATCACCAAGTATTACCAACAGGGGCCAGAGAACTGTATTTAAACAACCAAGATACAAGTTTTCTCCCCATTCAGCTGCTGCACACTGCTTTGTATGGCTCTGCATAGCACACACAGCTTACTGTGAAACGGCACACAGTTTAACCCTTTGATCGATCTAAATACCCATTGAAACACCTGTGGAGGAGATTCCCCAGATGTTAACCCCTTCCTGCCCAGTGCCATTAGTGCAGTGTCAGTGCTTTTTATTAGCACTGATCACTATATTGGTGTCACTGGGGATGTCAGTGACACCAAGTCATTTCCCCCGTGTCAGAATGCCCGCCGCAGTCCTGCTATAAGTCGCTGATTGCTGCCATTACTAGTATACAAAAAAAAATTCCAGTATATATACCACTATTTCTAAACGCTATAATATTCATGTAAACCAATTAACTTACACGTATTGGGATTTTTTTTAGCAAAGACATGCAGCAGAATACATTTTGGCCTAAATTTATGACGAAATTTGATTTTTTTTAACTTTTTTATTGGACATGCATTAATAGCAAAAAGTTAAAAATATTTTTTTTTTTCTCAAAATTGTTGCTTTTTTTTTATAGCGCAAAAAATAAATGCGCAGGTGATCAAATGCCACTGAAAGAAAGCTTCATTTGTGGGAAAAAAGGACGTAACTTTCATTTGGGTGCAGCGTTGCATGACCGCGCAATTGTCAGTTAAAGTAACGCAGCGCCGAAACGCAAAAAATGGCCTGGTCAGGAAGGGGGGTAAATCCTCTGGAGGGCAAGTCAGCTTGTAGTTACCCTGCCATGGAGATTCCCCTTCACTTCCTGTCCCAGTGATACCAGGACAGAAATAAAAAACCTATCACACTGTTAAATCTTCCGCACCCTATCTAAACTTAAAATAAAAACCCTTTGGGCTGAAGTCACCCTCTATGGTAACACAAGGGGCCAAGTAAACAGAGGAATCAAACTAACGCTAAAAACCTTTGTTGTATACAGGATATTCCAATGGGGCCTCATTCTAATATCACTATAGGACTTCACTGGTACTAGTTATGCAGCTAAACCATATTGCCTACTAGATTCAGTAACTATATTCAACCAATTTTATGCAAACTGTTCTCAAAACCAGGACGCCAACATAGGCCGTGGAGTAGGGTAGCATAACTAACAGGTGCAACACACATTCACCCTCCTATCAATGATAAATTTCTGTGTATAAAAAAAGGGAGCAGACTGCCACCCTGCCTCCCACTGCTACCTGTCCGGGTTCTCACCGATGCTGTCCCTGCAAACACTGTGCATTTCTCTTGGTGGAAAATTCTATACTTACAGATCACCAGCTCTGGGTCTGCACATCTAGGTTCAAGCTGCTAGTGTGACTGACTGCCTACTCTTCCAATCGTTGGGTGTATGAGTACTTATGCAAAGCATACACAAGGTCCGTTGTAGCCTCCCCGCCTCCTGCCGTGGCAATTTTCATACAGCTTAGACAAAGATCTTATATAGAGGTACACAAGATATTGATCTTTGGAAAGTAGGGAAAGGAGAAGGGGGGGTTATAATCAGGGCTGCAGATAAGGGGGTACCACCAGTCCTCCTGTATGGGGCCTAGGCCAGCAGGGGGGCCCCGTACAGCTGGCTGAACCAGGTGTGGGCAGGAAGGGTGATCGTCACAGCAGAGGGGCAATTACTGGAATCGATCCCCTATATAGCTCTCTCTGCAGCAGCTGAAAGCTGGATTCTTCTCCTCTCCTTCCTGCTGGATTTCAGCTGCTGCAGAGAGACCCATATAGGTGATTGGTTTTAGTAATTGCCCCCCTGCTACACCCATTACCCTCACTGTGCACCATACATTTCCCCTGATGCCCAGGCTCCCCTGAGCGCCCCTATTCCCGCAGTGCTGCCAATTTCCCACTGGCAGCTGCAAGCACACAATGGGATCCTTCAGGATGGAGAGAGTGGGGGAAGGGTTCAGTAAATATGTTGCATTTACCAGCTCTTTCCTTTCCTGAATGAACACAATGAATGATCGATACCAATCATTCACT